TGCCCCAGAGCGCTTCTAGTGCATCGTGCTGTGCTCATACATTCACCCATGCCACTCCGTCCCACGCTTCCAAACCACCCGAACCAAACTCAGTCAGGTCCATCTTGGTCAACAACCAAATACGGCCACATGAGAGCGCCCTTTGCAGACCGAAGGCCCCTGGAAAAGCCAGGAGAGGCCCTTCAGGGGAGGCCGGCCCGCGTCGGTCCGGTTTTTCGATGCTTTTGGATTTTTTGTTGGGGGTGGTCGAAAAAATTGAGCCGCTGCCCCTTGGTCCAAAAATTCGCCGGCAGAGAAGGCCTCGGGGGTCCAGATTCCCCTTCCAAAATGGACTGAGCGAACGGCAACTGGCAAGAAGGAGAGGTACCGGTACAACACCCGTGGCTGTGCTGAGGCGGGACCAGCTAGGTCTAACTGCACCATGCGGCCAAAGCCTTGAGTTTGGGTTCTCAGGGTTTGGGTAAGGTTTCAGGGTTCGTCAATTCTCTGAGGCTCAGAGGACTTATTAAGAAGGTTCTCGATGGGGCTATAAATTCCCCCCCGTATAGCCTACTTACTGTGTCCACTGAACCTCTAACCCGGTACTTAAAGGAACCTCTCATGGAAAAACATCTGTTCAACTAAGCCTCCCATCCAGATAGTCAAGCTTAAAGGCGCATATGGTCCCAAGCTGGCGATTTCCAACGTGTTTTTCCTCCAAAAGCTATTGGTATGCAATTTCGCGTGAATTTCAGAGGCCCTCCTATACCAAAAGGCAACCACATGAACCCATCCCGAAGGATCCTGATAGCTCATAATTGGAGGCTCAGGGGACTCAGTAAGCAGGTTATAAACGTGATCTCCTGAGTAAGTCTCCTGAGCTTTCAAGCACTATTAATGAAGTACTGTTTAAGGCTATAAACAAATCAGTGCTGCTATCAAAGTATTGAGCCCTGATTGCTCAGTAGGGACCTTGAATGATGACACGTTGCCATGTTGAGTCAGTTGCATCTTAGGGATATGTCTTCTGCCCTACAACCACCTTGTGGAGTCCAGACCTAGCCTATTTGTAGCCTCGGGATTCCGAAGAATCAAACGTTGTCTTGATATATTAAGTACTGCAAACCATCCTGAGTAAGCATCCCTCCGCTTTATCAATCCCAACGGCTCCTTTGCACCGGGCACCTATGCGGTGCAAATTTGCCTGGTTACAGCAAATCTCTTTCGCAAATGTAGATCGGCTGACTTCCATACCCTTCCATCTTGTAGAAAAAACACCATAGCCGCCATGTGAGGTTGCACTTCATACCGATGACTAATGACCACACTTACAGCTACCAGACGAATGAGTTGTGTGCCACGTATAAACTTGACGAGCTGCGTGTCAATCAAGGCAGACCATCCTTGTATACAAGCAGCTAACATTCCATAATGTTTTGCACCACCAATCCTGAAGAAGCTTCATCACCATTTCCAACACTCGCGGCCCTTCGCTGATGGTGCTTGCAGATAACCCTGCCAAATCCAACTCATAAGAGCTTCAGCAGCCTAGTGTGGGCGTCTCGCAGGCCATCATATTTTGGCCTCCGTGAGGCTAATTTTGAGTACAAGGATACTTTGTAACTTTTAAGGGAGTGTATTCCCAGTGGTACTTTACAAGGACCCTCAGAACAATCCTCAATTTGGTCACACCTGATTTCGTAATTACAGGGAGCGGACCTGGAACTGGCGTGAGCTGAGCCGTGGGGAGCCCGGAGACCTAAAACCTCCAGACTCTCAATACCTCAGCCTGGGCCCCAAACTCTGAAATGTGACATATGTATGCCATGCTGCCGCCCCGCGCTTTTAGCGTGATCTTCGCCTGGGCTGTGGAGGAAGGGCGCTCTGCCATGGTTTTTTGCGGCTTGTAGGGGCAGACTTCAGGGATTGGATAGTCCAGCCACCAAAGCCCTCCTGACTTCAAATGTAGGATCAGAACCATTGGCCGCTAGTATGGACAGTCACTTGTAATTGACTTGTTCTGGAGAATTGTGTATATGCTACGAGCGCAATGAAACTCTAGGGGCCTTTACCTTCAATCTCAGATCAACGCCTGAGCCTGGAAGTTATGGTGAGGTTTCTGCAGAATCTACTTGAAGGCTCAGGGGACTTAGTAAGTAGGTGTCAGATCGGCTTATAATAAGTCCTGCCTCCTACTTGGGGTTAATCTGGTTCTAACCCCCCGAAGATCGACTTACGAAGTTGCCTGAGCAACTGAAAAATCTTCCAGTCCTCGGCTGAGGACTGGCCCAGCATAAGCATCCCAACACTTAAAAGCTTTCTAGCGCAGTGCAGAATCATCCAAGATCCAAGAAAGCCCTGCGTGCGCTGGAGTGTCATCCTGTCAACGTTGAACACCCTGCGCCCAAATTGCAGGCTCTTGGTCTCGGCCGCAGAGGCGCTCTGTTTCAAACAGATGAAAGGTTGGCAAACCTGTCGAACATTCGTCTTGGTCGCCGAACACTTCATGAAAGTCGCGTCAATTCACTAAACAATCTCCGATACCATCTTACAGGAATCGCGCGATAGACATCCTACAAGAACCGCTCTATTCCCCAGATCGGTGTGCCTGCCGCAAAGCCATATCCGACTGGAGATGTATGTACGTTTTTTGTCCCAAGCCCCAGTTTGGTACAGGCCACTCATTTCAACATGGAACCCTGTCCTGTAGTAAGATATGCGATGCAAATTTGTTCTGCTTCAAGTTTATCTGACGTTCTCTCACAAAGGGTGTGCAGACCCAAGCGGCTCTGGGGACCTTGAGCAATGACGAGATGCACTCTCTGAGCGCGTCGACACTGCGCCTTGCGCTTGAGGTCTCGGATGGGGCATAAACCTAGAAGAAATCCAATTGCAATAATCTCAAAACCAAATGCATCACGATATGTAAAGATGGTTGAAACTATACGGAGCGATGAAGGCACAGTACTTGACATTGTTGTACTCATAGCCTTATGCAGAACCTGAAAAGAGTGTCCACGTACGGAAGTAAGAGCGACCCTTGCTGCCAAACCGCCCAGCTTTGAGTTGAAAACTGCACACTTGAGAATGTAGGGGTATCTCAAATCTCAAACCCCTGGAAGCCCTGGGTATCAAAACAGGTTATGAGGGGATGATAAGGGTCCTCAGTAGGGATTCTTCAGGGTTGTTGTGAGAGACCCCCATGTACGTTGGGGTGTTACAGATGCACAGTGTCTGGTTGACTTCCAGGGTTGGTAAAAGCTTTGATCCTAACCCTAAATCCTTAATCTTGAACCTAACTCTTACACTGACACCATTTAGGAACAGGCTTTGGCAAGGCGCTCGTTATCCTGCAACATGGTTTAGGCTGCATTCTAACTGGCCAGGTTCATTAAGACCACACTCTGGGAAAAAAATCCAGATCCTAATAATGTTCCCGAGGACACCGCAAGACAGCAAATGCTGGAGGTTGTAAGGTTGTAACGCTGGAGGCAAAGCGTGTAAAATAAGCTGTCGAGGTATCTTGTACTATAATGAAATAACGATTGCGAAAAATGCTGGTAATACTTAATACTTCATTCTTGCGCATTACACATTTTCGCACGAATTGATGTTTTACCGCTGGCAACACCTGCAACCAGATCACGCAATGTACCCACTGCATTCCTTCCTTTGAACTCCTCGTCTCCTGGGCGGGATTCACAACCAAGATCAGAATGTGTAAAAGCCTAAACCAAGACTGATGCCTGAACACCCCTGAGACCTCAAGACCGTGAACTATAGCGAATGTTGCAGAGCCTAAGTATGTCATTGTTCTTCATGAGCCGCTGAGCCCAAACTCCCAACAGCCAAGCGTCGCCGTTTTCAGCGTGAACGTGGACGTTCCGGTAGGCGTTTCTACGCTGACATTTGAGTATGCGAAGCTCATGGCAGTAAACAGGCGGGGGCTCAGGACCAGCTGTTCTGAACTTGTCTTAAGCATGGGAATGGCGTACTGCAGACTGGACATGGCTTCGATTCTGAAGATGTGTAGACTGGGCATTCTCGTATGCATTTCAAGTCCCGCACTCATACACAAAATTTCAGGAGTCGTGAAGCGTGGCAGCTATGATGACCCAGCGTGCTAAACTGTTTCGCAGATTTACAACTTGAAGGTGGCTTTGCGGCCTCGGGCTTTAAGAATGGGCTGACAAGCTTTGCTGACAGGGCCTCAGCTTTAAACAAGTTCTTGAATCTCCCACGATACCCCTTGTCTGTGTACAGAGGCAGTAGCTTGGGATCCAGAACAGCTTGGTCTCATGGCGTGCGGCACCTTTCAGCTCAATATGAGCTGGCAAGTTGAAGGGCCAAACGGCAGCAGTCAATCGCAGGGACACATCGGAGGCCAAAAGGGATTCCAAACCTATCTGGCGGCGCCTAATAAAAGTCTAGAGGCCGGCCTAATATCCAATTCAACACGCTATCAAGTTGTTTTACTCTTATTGTTTTCCCATCAAATAACATAAGCTACTACAATGTCGTTTGCACCACTTTTATCGTTTTCGCATGATCTGCACACACCCATGACTTGCGTCAGCGCCTTCTTTAAACCGTAGAGACCCGGGCATTTCTCCCAGCTCATCTGTCTTCAAGCCCATAATTGTCCATTAGAAGACCCAAGCTTCAGGGCTCGTGGCGCGCATTCTGCACAGGCTGTGTTTTCATGGCTCAGGGTATCAAGATCCAGGGCTCTGCCTAGCATGTTCTCCCTTATCCTGTCAACCTTTCCCCAAGGATCTGAGCTCCCATTCCCTGACGTGGACCATTATTTGAAGAGCTTGTCTGAGAAGGTTAGTGGCTTCGCACCTTTGAGTCGTGACCTTGGTCTTCAGGAAGAGCCCACTAGAAATGCAACATGGTCCCTACACCCGAAACCCTGATACCTAAACCCCTATAATCCATATAGTTTCCATTGAATTTTCCATTATCCCTGTATACCCCGCCCCCAATATGACCCCAAAGTTTCAGGATGCCAGCAAGTCCTGCACAATTTCTTGCAGGAGCTCCTGGCCTTCGAGCGCCTGCCACTGCTGGCCGTTTAGGGTTTACGGCTGGAGGTTTACGGCTCTAGAGAGCTTACTAAACGAAGTGTGTATGCTGTAGGGGGCTGTCTGTCTCTCTCTCTCTCCCCCTCCATCTCTCTCTTTTTTGTTTCTCTCTCTCTCTCTCTCTATATATATATATATACACATCGTACATATATATATATATACTACTGTATACATACATACATACATACATACATACATACGGACTGTGCCAGCATAGTGGAAGATCCAGGAAGTTCACGGAGGGCACAAACATCGAGGAATTGGATGCGTTGACGGCTCGGACCACTCGGGTTTCAGAGTAAGCTCCAGATTCCGGGATAAAATTCTCAGGGGAATGTAAGGGTTCAGTCAAACCCTTTTGCTTGAGCCTGCTTAGGGCATCAAGGCCATGTTGCGCTTTCAGTGCCTATATAGACTTGGCCTATGGCTGGCTTCGGACCCTTCTGGTCAGTGCTGCACCGCCTGTTGCTGGCTCTGCATGCAACTCAAATCGTTGCAATTATTTAAGCTCGCAGGGCATTAAATAGAATCCTTATACAATCCCTTTCAAGGCTTTCCAACTTACCCTTAATGGCATTGCATTTCCCTGCATGTCAGGCAGGACGAGAACCACTCTCTCGTTTGTCGTGGGTGGTATGAAGCAAAACCACTTTTGAGGTCAGGCCCGACGCCTTCCGCTAGGTAAGTGGCTCCAAGCTCATGCTCTATCATGCTCCAAGACTGGTATGGAAAGACACCACCACTCCGTCTCAGAACTCAAGTCCTGCCCAAAATGTTGAATACAGTCCTGCGCAAATAAAGAAGAGATGCAGCACGCGCCTGGAACACCGGCTTTCTCCAAATGAAATATTCATAGTGAACCGAGGTACGGCTAAAAATTGCATGACCCCCTTTAGTCAATCTGACGAACTGCTTTGAACTCGCTGTTTGGCGCCCTCCCGCAGCATCACCTACCGCATTCCAAACACTCCTACACTCATGCAGTCTCAGGGAAGTGGCAACTAGATTATAGAGCGGTCGTAAGCAGACTACCCTCTTTTCGGGGACTGATATATGACCTACTTACGGAGTCTCCTAAGCCTTCAATTCTAATGCAATCATCCTTCCTACCTCGCTCCCAATTACTGGGTACCCATCAAATTCCCATGAAGATCCAGAAGGGAATTTCATTTGGGTCTGCATGTATGCTGCCTGCAAAAGACATGAGAAGTGTTGTGAACTCGATAAAACTACCCAAGAACTGTGTCAAAAACTAAATAACAGTTCAACCCTAACTGAACCCTTCATCCCTAAGGCCTAATCGGCCCAAAGCCCTACATCCTGAAGCAAGGTGGAACCCTATATATCCCAAACTTGAATTGCTCTAGCAACCACAAAAACCTGAAACCCTTTAACCCTACTTGGTAGCCCAGTAACCATATTACAATAAGGGTACCCTTTTTTCTGTTGGTACATTATATATGGGAACCCAGAACCCAAAAAGGGTAAAAGGGTACCACTGGGGTTCCTAGCCTACCCTAAACAGGAGACAGCCTGGAGGCGGCTCTCCGCCAGCAAGAGACGCTGCTTCCGCTCGGAGCGCGAAAGAGGCCAGTCCCAAAAAAGACCCTGTCAGGGCAAGGGGTTTAGGGTTTAGGGTGTCTATGGATTTGGGGGTTTGGGCTGTTTTGGTTTTAGGTAGGATTCTGGGTTTGGGGTTTAGGGTTTATAAGGGCAAAGAAGGCGTGAGGGTTTTTAGCCTGGGGGTTTGCAGTTAAGACGGGATTTTGAATTGAAGGCAAAATTCTAAGGGAGTTGCAAATATGTACGAAGCCTTCAGGGCAGGTCCCTAAACCCTGCCCGTTGGGCTGCAGACCTTGGGCGAGAGCGGCACAGGAATTAAGGGGATAACTTCGGTGGACCCCCCCCCCACCCAGTAATAGTGACTATAAGAGATAATAGGGCTTATATTAGGGTCCTCTTATATTCTTATTATACCACCATTACAGAGTGGGCGGGTCCTCCTAAAGCATAACAGAAGGTTTTTGTTGGGGAATTCTTTAACGATTCTTTTGGGCAACTTCCAGCTGTACTGGATTTCAAAAGGGAACATGCAGCAAAAAACAGGTCCTGGCACGGCGTGTACTACCCTAAACCAGAAACATTCAACCCTAAACTGGCCCTAAACCGGAAAACCCTAAACCCCTAAACGCCTAAACCCAAACCCTTCAACCCTAAACCCTGAACCCTGTGAGCCATGAAAGTGTTGAGCAAGGTGGGAGGGGCCACGGTAGGCTCGGGTAAAATTGCGGAGAGTCATTGTATGCCGCATGCCGCTTTGATACTGCTGGAGGACATGGTACTGCAGGGGTGCTGTATGGTGACGTATATAGACCGTGTATTCGAATAGTATCTCCTATTTGTTCGGATAATTATGTATATACATTATGTGTATGTGTATATATATATATATCTGTCCCCTTTCCCTTGTACCTTTCTCGTTACCTTCATTACAGTCATGCTTCAAAAGCGCCTCCAGTGTTGTCTGCGCTGAGGCGCAGAGCTCATCTTGGCGATGCTTCAGAACCTGGGCTTGGGAGGATGCGGGGGGGAGGATGCGGGCGGGTGGAGGGGGGGCCTTAGAGAGAACACGGGGAGGTATAAGGATGTACAGGATTAGGGTTTAGGTTCTAGAGTTTACGGTTTTCGGCATGAAAACTGCAGGTCTTGTAGATGGGGGCTCAGAATTCATGGTGTAGAGATGATGTAACTTATGCGAAGAAGTTGTGAGGGCTATCCTTGCTTAGCGTTAAGAGGAAGGGTCGTCTAGACTAGCGTGAGATTTTTGAACGTGCCACCAGCCACTGGATATCCCTGTAGACCACGGAATATCCTTACAAAGACATCCAAAAGCGCCGCATCATTTTGAGAAGCCCTAAACCCGGCAACCTATAAGTGTACCTATAAAATTACCCTATACCTAGAGAACATGGGTATTCATTTTGGAAGAAACAAAGTCGAAAGAACCATCAAGAGAGAACCGCAATCCCCAAATAGAAATTTCCAGAAAAAAAAACTACTACAGAGACCAACATACTGCAATACTCTTCATGTTGGTATTCAGATACCCGAATCTTCCGAAATCCTATGATCCTTATTAACTGAAACCACTATGTAGTCCCAGTTTCCTTTTCAGTCGCTTATTTTCTTTTCCATGTGCTAGTCCACTGTTGAGCTAATACCCCTAAACCCTAAACCCCAAATGTATTTCTAAACCCGAGATAACCCCTGCACAACCCTATAACCCTTCTATAGGTCCCTATAACCCCTTTAAAGCACGCCCCAAATTTCAAATCCCCCCCCCCTAAGCCCTAACCGCCCAAACCCTAAACCACCCCAAACCCCCAAAGTGTCACAGAAATGAGCCGCACCTCGGCTCCATAGGACATGCGCCGATTGCGTGGAGAGGCCTCGGAAGCAACATGAGCACCTTGAGTAAGGTTTTGGGATTAGGGTTTAGGGTTTAGGGTCTAGGGGTTATAAGGTTTAGGGATTAGGGTTTAGGGTTTAGGGGGTAGGGTGGTGCTTAATATGGAATGAGGGAGTAGAATCCCTTTGTAATCCCTATAACAGCTGTTGCAGTATATTCCCTACCAAGAGCAGGTAAGTAAAGGGTTTAGGATTACCCTCGGGCTCCAAAAATGCCTACGTTGGGCCCTAAAGACACATTACACCGACAACCATAAACCCTAAACCCGAGAGCTGGGAGCAGGGCTTTGGGTCTTCAGGGCGAAGCTTAAGGAGGTAACAGCCTTACCAACACGGCTCTAAGCTAGAAATATATACTATAACGGGCATGGAGCAGCGGTGCAGAGGGCTGGGGCTTCAATAGTAGTGGATTGGGGATCAGGTTGTAGGTTTGGGGCAGGTACTAATGCCAGGGCGGGGCCTCCCTAAGCCGCAGTGTGTGCCTAGCGGTGCCTACAACATGTGTCCAAGTCCTTTCGGGCTTATACATTGAATATAATCCATCCCAGACAAAGTATCAGAAGCTTTCGAATTTCTGAGGTGCTCTTCTTTGTGGTTGGCGGATGCTTGCCACGAAATGGTAGGAAGGTGTTTCATGGGCTCCCTACCACCCCCTATGCTTGTAATTATTAGGCCCCTGCATTAGAATGCTCTATGCTTATGATGAAGCTGCTATGCATCGAATTAGTCGGAGTGGTGATCATGAAAAATCAACTCAGCGCGAAGCCATGAGACAGTAAGCACGCAAACATGAGCGGCAGCAGATCAAACAAAAACATACGCAAACAACGAACATGGCGGCAGGCACAGCGAATATCAAATTCAAATAACCCCATGCTGTACATGTATAAGCAATTCGTATGTGCAGACGCTCTTGGCATAAAGTATCTCCCTCAAGAGCATGCGCCCCAGGTATCCCCTCAATTTGGTGTGATCCTTGGTAACATAGGGACCCCAAAAACGGGCGGGACATTTCAAGACACTCCACCTGCCCTTTTTCATTCAAGCCTCGGTACCTATACTAAGGACCGTATACGCAGAATTAACCATTAATCCTTGCTGGTGAGGCCGCCTCTGGAGAGTCGAAGGCAAACGCCCAAACCTGCACGGCTCGGGGCGTAGGGTCATGAGGTTTCAGGGCTTCTGAAGTTCTGTCAGCCTTATAGTCCTAAGGTGTTGTCACATGCAGGTAAGGGAGTCAGGGTGTTTAGGCTTTGGGTTTACGGTTGAGACCAGGCACCACTTGCGCATACTAGACCGCCAAACGACACCACTCTTTCCCTGCGATTGTGCGGAGCCCTGTGTGCTTTTTTCTGATGCATGGGTAGCAAACTGAGCAAATAAGGAGTGATGACACGTGAGAAGCATGGACTTGTGCATGAGACCCACAGGCATTCCTACAGACCCTGAACTACTTGCAAAGGAACCTACGTACATATGTATAGATAGATGTATGATGTATTTGTATCTGTTTATTTGGCTATACAGGTGTGCAGCTATACGTGTGCGCCCCAAAAACCAGAGGGTGCGTTATAAAGGGTAGCCAGCAAGCATCCATACTTCGGAGAAGAGCCTTTTTACCGTGCAAAGGGGCACTCACACTTAACGACTCGCGCATGATCCCGACCAGGTTTAGGGTTTAGGGTTTAGGGTTTAGGGGATCTCAATTCTACCCCCTAGCCCCTAGAGGTCTAAGTACATAGAATCTATCTAGGAACCCATCAGGGCCAACAATTATGTATCAAATGTATTTGTCAGAGGACTTCCCTTAACTCCAAATAACCCCTGTATATACCCCAATATTACCCTATGTACCCCAATATTACCCTGTATAACCCTGATACATCCCAATACTACTCTATATAACGTCAATATGACCCTTGGTGCCTGGACTCTCAGCCCTACTGCACCCGAAGCCTTCAAACCTGCAGATCTGCTACGCGGTTTGCAATTTGGGCCTGCCTCTTTGATCTTCGAAGCGGATACGGTTTATGGGTGTAGGGTTTAGGGTTTATGGGACGTTTAGGGTTCAAGGAAGTCAGGGAGGTATGAGACAGCACAGCTAGCTACCTTCGAAAAAATCATGAAGTCCTTTCCAGACTAGTACGTAGGTTGAGGAGCAAGGGTCGTGGACACCAGCACGGTGCACCGTTCAGGACTCGGGGTTTCAAGTTCAATGCCTGCATAATGAGGATTATAGTCTTTTGGTGTCTATATTGTGACCCCCTATTTGGGTATAGTAAGATTATAGTATTTTGGTGTCTATATTGGGGTCCCAAACTTGCAATCCAAGACACACACACACAACAAACTCCAAAATTTGAGACTTAAGCACTGTGTATACTGTGTTATGATCAACCGGAAATGGGAAATACAGACGAAAGTGCGCAGGACGCTAAGCCCTACATAGCCAACATGGGAGTTTATCAACATTGTCCCCCTAGACTTTTTTCTAGTGGAGCCCTTATTATCTCCCTACAATCCCGATGTATCCCTGGGGTCCCTGGCGGCCCGCCATGTGGAGAAACTCCTGGATTGCTGGGCTTTTCATCTGCTGTCGGCGCATCCTAATAGGCTTGCTTGGAGGATCCAGAGTCAGAGGGGTGATTGTAACCCAAATAGCAGTCTATATTGAGCCCTTTGGGTGCTTCCATGTTAGTGCGGGGGAGGGTAACTGCACAAAAAAAATCATCACTGATGCCCTTGTGACTCAGTTTCCCTTACTGTTGCTAAGCTCCCCTGACCCTCCAAGCGCTGTGTGAAGAGCCTTCTCCTCCTGACAAACGAGGAGATTGGACGCAAAGTCGTTCAAAGTCGTTCAAAAGTTTTCAAATATGGCAAGCCAGTCTGGCTAAGGAACTACAATTGTGCGTGTAACCATCGTCTGCAGTGCTCATCAAACATCCAAGCACTTAGGCCTTGCAGTGCCCAGCCAGGGCGCAACAGGTCCTTGACATATCTACGGACTGCACTGCGGCTGAGGCTGGCTTCGAAGTGTTTCCTTTCCAGATCCAGCAACTCACGCCACTTTGTTATCATCTTGTACGGAGTGGGTTCCGTCCCACCGAAATGCCATGTCTTCAAGCCATCAGCATCGCCTGACTGATATAAAACAAGCTGGCCCTTCAAGTCTGACATCTTGGCACGCGCTGACATGTCGATTCCCAGGCGCTGATTCTCGTAGTTAGTGCCGAGCTCCAGAGCGGCATCAGTAGCTTTCTGGTACAGACGTGCAGCCTGACATAACGCACCATGAGTATTAGGATACGCTCTTTGAAGCTCTGAGGTCAAGCCATGGTCGTCTTGCTTGCCCCACATCCACATCAAGCTCACATAGTCTCCAAGAACATCCCAAGCATCTGGCTTGGAACCTTCCTCAATATCTTCTTCAGGATCAATGGATATCCCGTGGCGCAGCCTCCTCCAAACCTCCAGAGCCAAGGAATGTATTTTGCCACAGTCATAATGATCTCTGCGCCCCAGCTCAATGACCCTCATAAGCTGCAGCTTCATTTCAAAAACTGGGTTCGGCTGGCCTAGGCTCAAGAATATGCAAGGGGCACAGTACAACAAGACGAAAAGTGTGAAAATAGAACTGAACCAAAGTTGACAGCCTGGCTACTGAAAGACTGGAACAGGTGCAATGCCTTCTCTATATGGCCTGTTGCATAAGCCTCTTGGACGGTAAAATGCCTAAGCTCGGCATCACAGTCTCTGAAAGGGAAGCCTGGAACGCATGTCTTGGCAGCTGCTACGCACGGATGGAACACTATCTCATCGTCATGGAAGAAAGATTGAAAAAGTGTGATTTGCATGTACCTGACCTTTCCATGCGCCGTGCTGAAATTCTCGCCGCCGGCTCCAGCACGGCAACAGTCTTGCCGGAGTTTGGTCAGGTTAGCCAAGGCAGCTTCCCGAAATTCACGTGCTGCAGGGGTGAGTTTGCGGTTTGACATCCGTGGGCGTGGTGCTTCATTGCTCAAATCCATCTTGTCCCAGGCCTCACTGTAAGCACTGACTTTGCGCAGTCTGGATCGTATGTGCTCCCTGCCAGAGGCTCTCTCTTTCCTCCAACGTTGCTGGCGCTCAAGGGAGAAGATCACTTACCTAGTGTTTCTCACAACAACTCAGGCTACTGAAGCATAAGCTGCAGCCCAGAAGCTCCAATGAGACAATAATCTTGGCCAGGTAATGCGCCGATTCTAAACTCTTCCCGAATTGCTTTGCACTGCTGCGCTCCCGTGCTTCCACATCTCTTACTACTCCTTGCAGTGCAGAGTCTTGTGGCAAATCTGGATAGTGCAGGAACTGCAAAAGGACATCTTTGAACAAGTCCCACCCTGAAGTGTCTGTGCTGTAGCTGCCTTTCTTCCCTTGCCGCACAACGAGGGCCGTGACGTCACACCCTGCTACGTCAGGTAGCATTCGCTTCAGCACTCTTGTGGCCCTTCGCGCCCCTGGAGCCGCGCTAAAGAACTTCTGCCAATCTTCATCAAGCACTAGGCGTGGCGTTGACCCCAGTCTGACATTGTTATATGTGAAGTGACAATCTGCTGGCACCACTTCCCACCGCCTATGGTACATGCGATCTCTCAACCTGATTGCCTTGCTGCCACGTAGACCCTCGGGATCTTCGTAGAAGCAATGGCTCCGATGGAGCTCTGCAGCAAAGCGCTGCCACTCTGCAGGTGTAATTCCACGAGAGGTGTTCAGGCAGTAGTCAAAATCACTCTGGTCCCAGGGGTTGCCACTTGCAGTCTTGATGCCCGTTCCCAGCTGCGAAGAACCCGTTAGTTTAAGCGTGAAAGACAAATCAGGCCAAACTTTGGAAGCCACGGAGCTGAGCTCAGCCTGGATATACCGCACATAATCTGTTGGGAGCTCATCTGCTTTGATTTTGCTGGCAATGACCTGGAACTCTTCCTTTATGTCATACGACATCACAAGGTCTGTAAAGAAGTCCAGGTCTGCCTGAATTCGCTGCTCAAGTTTCATCTGACTGGCAGGAGCAGCTGTGGCGAGCCCTGCCCCGCATGAAGTCCACTTGCATGTAGCCACCGCAGCCATGCAGCTTATCAGAAGACAAACAGCTGTGTTAATACGCTCACCTGGAAGAACTCCTAGCAGGCGGTGAGGGTGGTGGGGGCGGCGGGGGCGATGGAGATGGCGGCGATGGATCCGGTGGCGAGGGAGCCTCCACCTTGGGACGGAACGAAGGAATGTCTGCTGGGGCATCCCGAAGGCGGAACGCCACATGCAGCACCAGCAGCAGCAACAGGACAAGGGTCGCACCTGGTGCTGCCCTGGACTGGAAAGGCTTCCTCATGGCTCTTCCGTGAACTCAGAAATCTGAATCTCAAAATCTTAGATGAGAAGCCTGATGATATATTGTAGGCAATCCCAACATCATACACAATCCCAAGCGACGCCCCGGGACGCAGAACCCAGAAGTATGTCAACACATGGGCTTCCCCCAGACTCTTGTCACTTGAATCCCATCACATTATCTAGCATAGACAGCTTGCTGTGCAAATTCTACCCTTGATCTCAGCGCACGAGCAATCACAGCATTCATGAAATGAGCCGGCTCTCAAGCTTGATTCCTTGCGTGGCCTGAAGTCTTCCGAAGTTGTTGGATCTCAGTGTCGGTGTTGTAGCGCTGCCGCACTAAAGTAATTTCCCAAATACTACCAGTTTTGAGCTCCCAGTCTTTCCGCCCCTTGGCAGAAGCGCTTGGGAAAACCGCTGCTCTCCCAGGCGCCGGTCACTACCATGACTATGGTGCAGCAGCTCAGGCGGTTTTGCGTGTTTGTTGTTTCTAGGTTCGGTGGCCATGCCCGTCCAATACTTCCTGCGCATGATGTACAATCACCAACAGGATCCAGAGTTCCCATGCTGGTGCATCTAAAACGAGGACGCTGCAGCTAAGTCATGAACGTAAGGACAGGTATCACCTCCAGTCTCACCACAGGGGAGTAAGTACCCCTGCCAGAGAAATACACTTGCCTACGCAGCTGGGAACCTTCAGCAAGCCAGCTAGCTTCCAGGCAGAACGCATGCCCGACTGGCAAGTGTGGAGTGTGCTCAGCATGTTCTGAAGGATAATGCGGCAACGTGCTCAGCCGCCATCAGCATAAGTCATCAGCACAAGTCAAAAAACAAACGTCTATGCTAGAATCGCCAATCTGCGATGACTGCGGGCAAGCGATAAAACCTGACATAATCATAAAAAGTAGATAGCATTGAGTAACAAGACCAGCATCCTCGGCACGGATTTGTTTTTCCCGTGTGAGTTGGGAAAGGCTTTTAAAAGGTATCAGATTAACATACACGGACAATATCCAAAGGCAAGCAGTTTGCTTCGCGTGTAAAGGCCTCCTCCGGAACCAGTGAGGCCGTGCGCATGATCACTTGCCGCTGCCTTGGAGTTTGCTTCTTTTTCACTTGGGAAGTATGGGGTCGGCAGGAAGTATGGGGTCGGCAGGAACAGGGAACCTTCCAGGATATGTGGTTTGGTTGAGGGAAGATCTTAGCTTCGCCACTCAGGGTGCGGAATGAAGGGGGTCCCGCATCGTTCTTTGCAACTAATGTTTCTACTCTGATAGGGCGGGTGCTCTACATAAAACGGACGGTGCATCGCATTCCGAATCCCCTGGACAGAAATGTCATTCTCAGTCCCAGTGCGACCAGTCTCCACTACAAGTCTTCTTCTCATGAGATTTTCGAGCTGCCACCCTAACGGTCCAAGTATTCAATAAGCATATGCTTTCTCACTCGTACAACAATCACTACTGCCCAAATCCCAAATACTGACTGAATGGCTGCATAGTTGAACCCCTCCCGGTTTAAGGTTGAAACCATGGGCCCCTAGTATGGGTCCTGGGATCCTTGTTTACCTACCATATACCCTATATGTACCCTTGAGGGTCCCTAGAATGCCCCTAAAAGGCCTCAGGGCCCACGTTATAGGGGTTCATCCTTCCAACAATAGACGGGGCACGTCAAAAGAACAGACGCAGTTACATGTAGAGCTGGCGCAGAAGCAGGGGTTGTAGATTCTGCATGCATCTTAATCTTTTCACCTGAAGCACATATACCGTGCGTAGTGCAGGGTCCCACAGACTTAGAATATGGTTATGGGAATAATGCGGGTAGACAGGTCAATTACCAATTCCGGCTTTGACACTAGTTTTGAGTATCAGCAGCCAGACAAGTGCAAGACTGAGAGCGCAGCTTGCGGCGGTCGCAGGCAGAAACCTGCGGTGCAAGTACTTACCTTCAGGATGCCCTAGCTTGAACGGGGATTCGGGGTTTAGGGGTTTAGGGAGAGGTTTCAAGGCTACGCCCCAGACATGGCCGAATCAGGGTAGCATCCTGAATTTTCAAACTCCCACCGCAACATAGTCCTTGAAGCTCTGACAATTGAAAAGACTAAGGCCCCCAAGCTTTCAAAATACTATGCCCTCCCAAAACAAACACGGATATTACGTAGGCCATTAAAATGAGACAGTAATCGATGCAAAGCCCCCCTTCACGCTCCACGCTTGTTTGGCATCCAAGGCAACCATGAGGGTCATTGAAGGTTATGCACAGTAGTACGAGGCGTGAAGGCTTAAGGCTCTTCAATGCTGAAACCAGAAACGCTGCTTTGGGCCCCAGGTATATGCCTCATAGGTGCTCTTGCCCTAGGCAGAAACATATCGCTTGAACCAAGTCTCGACATGTTTTAAACACCCCTAGCAAGCTTAAGAAAACCCAACAAAACCCCTGTAACCACGTTTAAAGGAACCCCAGTTGAACCAACAAAACATCTCTCTGCAACATACTACGCACGTAATGTTGTTCTATATTGGCTGTTTTTTCCCTATCTAACTTACTACTGATATATACTCCGAAATGTCCTAAAACGGTTATGCGTTCCCCAAATACAAGCCCTTCGAAGTCTCCCGAATCCCTATATGTCCCAATATACCCCCCGCACAACTCAATATGACCCCTGAATAGCCCTAGTGCAATTTCGAACCCCACGTCTCCCCATATAGCCCCTATACAACCTCAACATAACATAACCCTCTTTTCCTTCTAAACCCTAAACCCT